CATAAAGGAAGTTACATTTGAGAATTAACTGTATTAGCTCAGTTACCCATGCCCATATAGCACTGAGAGTGAAATTGTTAAATGAAATCCAGAGATAGTTTAAAAACTCATTATTTGCTCAAGAATTTTTAGTTGCTTGAGAAGTTAAAAGAAGTTAAGTAAATTTTAACTTGAACTTGCCACCAACCTTTGTTAAATATCACTGCTAAACCAAATGAAGCCAAACGAACTAACTAACCAACCAATCAGCCACCAACAACATAAAACCTTCACGGCATCCAGAAGTATACCCCTGCTTTGCTGTTTGTACACAGCTGGGACAGCTTTGACATCAGTGCTACCGCAACTTACTAGTCAGATAGGTTCTCATAGGCAACAGACATATCGGTTACCCCATTCACCGCAGTCTATACAAGGAAGGACACAACTAGCCTGTGAGTAAGAAGAGATTCATCCTCACATCATATACTTATAAATACTGGCTTTTGGTTCAGGTACATGGATATAGACCATGTAAATATTGGCATGGTGATCCATGTATATACTAGAGATAGACATTAATACATGCATATCTGTATGGAGATGTTATATAAAATAGTGACCCAAACTAAGAGTACAACCATAACTTTGGGGCATAAAATAGAGATATCTATCAAAATCACAAATGCACACATCCTTTGATTTAGTAATTGTAGTTCTAGAAATTTTCAGATATAGTCACACATGTGTGCAAAGCCATTTGTATGACTCTATTATTTGTAGTCACATTTATAATGGCAAAGCTGAAAAAAAAAAGCCCAAACAAATTTTCATTCTTACACACACACACACACACACACACACACACATTTATTTTTTTCTTACTAGGTGCCAGGCACTGTGCCAAATGCTATTTACCTGTCTATTTATATGTGCTTATATGTGTATACACCTGTGCACAGAGATATAAAGATACATACATACTTTTAAATATCCGCTTTGGATGACTGCCTTTTCCATTTTCATCTGGATGGACTTACATAATGTAACATGTTAGAGCCTTAGCAGACACTGCTGGGAAGGATAAGCCAGACTCTTCTTTTCAGCATATTTACATGAATATGCATATGTGAAGTACTTCAACAGTTTCCTTTGTCTGGGTTTCCTATGATACCTCTGTGGCCTTCATCATAGGATTTCCTCTCAGCCATAGGATACCTGGTGAGAGGACTGATTCTACCTGAAAGTTTCCAGAGACCTAGTCTCTTGAGGTAGAACAGATGTATATCCTAAGGGTTGTCAGCACCTCCCTGTGAAGTCCTGTCCCATTCTACAGCAGTATCAGAGACTATGACATTTTGGGGTTTGTCAACTTTTTTGAATGCTAGAATTACTGAACTCCAGATTAATGTAATAGATTCACATTGATGTCCCTTGGGTGTGCCAACAGATGGGTTAGGTGGGCTCTATGAAATTGCAAATGTTGTGTGTGTGTATGCATGAATGACATTTTTTTGCATTTTAATATATTATAATTATTATATCATATTAATTATAATATATGTCAATTGTATATAATATATACAATTAAATGGATCCTGAAAGATAATTGTAATATCCCACAAAAACAAAATTAGAGATCATTAGTTTAGGGGTGCCTGGGTGGTTCAGTTGGTTAAGCGTCTGACTTCAGCTCAGGTCATGATCTCAGGGTTCGTGAGTTCGAGCCCCATGTCGGGTTCTGTGTCTACAGCTCAGAGCCTGGAGCCTGCTTTGGATTCTGTGTCTTCCTCTCTCTCTTCCCCTCCCCTGCTTGTGCTCTGTCTCTCTCTCTCTCTCTCTCTCTCTTAAAAATAAATAAACATAAAAAAAATTTAGAAATCATTGGTTTAGAGATTAAAGTCTCCCAGTTTAGGATAAGTTTAAATGGCATTCATAATTCACTTAAATTACTTTGTGTTAAGTATAATACCTGATTATGCTGAGGTTCTAAATGCATTTTTAAAAACTTACTTATATGGTTGGGCGCCTGGGTGGCTCAGCTGGTTAAGCATCTGGCGTTGGCTTGGGTCATGATCTCACAGTTCGTGAGTTTGAGTCCCACCTCAGGGGAGCACGAACCTCACTTCGGGTGAGCTTGAGCCCTGCTTCTGGTGAGCCCCGCTTCTCTCTCTCTCTCTCTCTGTCTGCCCCTCGCTCACTTGTGCCCTATGTTTCTCTCTTTTTCAAAAAAAAAATAACTTACTTATATGGCATCACAATTATTTAGGAGAATAAATGGCTTTTAACTAGTCTGAATTGGGTGTTTTTTGTAAAATAAAGCCTTTAAAATTACAGTGATATTATCCATATTATGTACTACAGATCATCTGAAGGGGAATTTCAGGAGATAGAAATCCTCACATGACTCAGATTAAAGCTGGAAATGTTTACCAAGTACCCTGCCGTGTGGCAGTGTGTCCTGTAATCCCACCAGGGCATGCAAATGAGGTTCTAAGAATACTGCACGCGAGAGAAGGGAATGCTGGGTCTGAGCTCACTCAGTGCAGAGGGACAGGGAAGGCCCCAGGTCTAGGAAGACTTAGAACCTTCCGGGTTCTAGGGCCCAGATGGCCCGGGTCAAAGCCGTAGTTTCACCACTGTCCAGTGGTGCGACATTGGGCAAGTTACTTCCTCACCTGTCCAACACGGAGTTCTCCTGTAAAACAGGGATGACAACAGCACCTCCTCCCTGGGGTTTGCTGCAATGATTTAGTGATACTGACCAAGAACCTAGTGCATAATAAATGGCAGCCATTATTATTATATTATGCTTCAAGCGACACATGTTTACACGCAAGATAAAAAATAAACTAAAAGCTAGTATGTAGCATTCCACGTTGGCAAACTTGGCAATGGGACCTTATTCTTTGTGATGGATGTGTTTATGACCAATACAGATGACTGGGGGGCCGGATTTGTACTGACTGTTTACTTCAGAAGTAAAAGCACAGTTTTAACAGATTGAATGGCTTCAGGCAAAATGATGCAATTTCCTAGGGAAATCATAAAGAAAACTGAAATGAAAGTAAAAACTGTGTGCCCTCCACGCCCCCACCCTGCGAGTCAGATATTCTCTGGTTTATCAAATGTAATCATGTGATCAGAGAAAGTAAGAAAGTAAGAAAGTCCTCCCCAAGGAGACCTTTCACACAATTCTATGCAAGCCTAGCAAAACTGGATTGTAGTCTCCCTTTTCAGAAGGCTTTTTATTTCACCCATTTAAATATTTTGCAACATCCACTCTACAGTTTCTCAAGTTAGTTTTGATGAATTGAATTGAAATTCTTTTGTCAAATTGGAACAGTCAGAGTTGGTCGTTGGGGCTGCTTAAGAAGTAAGTGCATCACTTCTGGCTCTAACAGAACTGTGACTGCATCTAAGGGACCATTTTCGATTGCACCTCCCCCAGGAAACACTCAGACTTCATGAGAACAAGTTGCCATGCAGCATTTTAGGATTTCTTCTATTTATCCCGCATTTGTGGGAGTGTTTCCTTCCAGAGCCTGGATCTTAATCCGAATCCTATATCTACACTTCAGAAATTGCTAGAATTCCCTTAAAGTATGGTTATTTGGATTAGGATTAAAGGCATGTCTTATGGTGCTTCCTGCCACAAAGATCAAAACATCCCCTATCACCCCTTCTCAGCCTCCATGCCACATTTTCCCCCTTGTACTGAGCCCTGGATTAGCTTCAGGCAAATTCCCAAAGCACATTCCCTTTCCCTTACACTTTGGTTCTGTTCTTATGTGTGACTTTCTACTGCTGATCATGATGGGTAAGCAGAGTTTTAGATCCTTGCATGGGCTTTAAAAATTTTCTGGCTCTTTCACCCAGGCTCTTTTCCTTAACACCACAATACCCCAGTAGCTGGGCACTAACAGCCTCATTGTAGAGTTGAGGAAACTAAGGCCCAGAGATGTCGGGATGTGTCTAGAGTTCCAAAACAACCTGGAGTCAAATAGTGCGGGGGGTTTATGTTCTGCCCTAGCTCTCTGTGCCGGGTTCCCTGTGGTAATCACAATTAACGTTAGCAGCTGAAACCATTTAGAGACTTCACGCTGAGTGCTCTTTGGTTTGTTCTCAAGGTAATCGATGGGAGTACAGCTTGTACTTTGGACCTGACAGATTTGGGCTTGAGTCCCACCTCCATCTCTTACTGTGAGGCCTCGAACATCTTGTCGATCATCTGTAAAATGGAGAAATACCTACTTGCGGGCTGTCAAAAGTAGTAAAGGGAAGTAACCCATCCTTTCCAGGGCTTGGCCCGCTGTAGACATGCACTAAAGAGCAGGTGCAGTGCAGTCATTCACAGCAGGTGAAGCGTGTTGGTGTACTCTCTAATCTGGTCTCTTTCTTCTAGCCCATTTGTTTCCTAAAAAACCCAATTCCAGCTCCTCTACTTTTAGGGCCCTCCACAAAAATGCCTCCCAAGGTTAGTGTGCATATGAATCGCCCAGGTATCTAAAGATGCGGATTCTGCTTTTGTAAGTCTTGGCCGGAGTTGCAGTTCTAACAGGCTCTCTGGTGATATCGGTCCTGCCAATCTGTGGACCACATTTTTTTTTTTTTTTTTTTTTTTTTTAGAGACAGTGGGCCCAGTGAGCTAGGCTTAGGGACTAAATACTTCAGGACCAGTGGTTCTCAGAGTTTACAGTTCATCCGCATCACATGGAGGGCTTGTTAAAAATACATACTACTGGGCTCTATCTCAGAGTTTCTGAAATCAGTAGGTCTGAGGTGGGGCCATAAAATGTCTTTTCTAACATGTTCCCTCCCAAGTGATGCTGATCCTGCTGGTGTGGGGATTATACTTGCTGGAGGCTTAGCCTAAGGTTACTGAAGACCAGTAGGGAATTTGTTTCCAATGCTAGCTGACTTTTAGGAGGCTATGGATCTTCTAGAGTAAGCATCCCCCAAAGGCTCTTCCGTCTTCCTCCTCCTACCTAGGCACCCTCCCGTCAAAATTGGCCCTTTACCTTGTAGACAGTGATGGGGATGTCAATGATGATGTGTAGCAGGTCTCCCAGAGCCAGGCTGGCTATCAAGATATTAGGGCCGTTTCGCATGCACTTGTTCTTGTAAATGATTCTCAGCAGTGTGGAATTCCCGATGATGCCCAGCACGAACACTAGACAGGACACCACCGTGTTGATATACTTGAAAGTCTCCTTGATCTCAATGGATCTCTCGCACGGAGGAGGCGAGCGTGGCCGGGCTCCGGTTGTTCTTCCTGCTTTAGGCATCTGCGGGGGTGCAGAAGTCGACGGCACGCTGGCGTTGGCATCCTTCGGCCAGGAAACCTCGGCGGGGGGCGTCATTATCTCTCCGGGTCCCGGAAGTGGCAGAGTGGCCCCGGTCGATGGGAATCCCCTCTCTTCTCCCTGGACCCCCGCCACGCCGCAGGCGATGACCAGCGCCAGCAGGGCGCGTCCGCGCAAGCTTGGCGGCGGCCGCATGCTGCTGCCTGCTCCAGTGGGCGTCGGGTGGCCGCTCTGCAGCTGTGAGTCTGGAGAACCGCAGGGAAGAAAGACTGGAAGCTTGGGGCAGCTACCCCAGCCACGCCCCTGCAAACCGCTAGCGCAGAGCGCAGCCGCGCGGCGAGCGTCCGCGCTCAAATGTAACTCAAGTTTGCGCGCCAGTGCTAAACCGGCGCGCGTGACACTCCTGAGTCGCTCCACTGTCCTTCCCGAACCAGCTTTCCCTGTGCTTTTTTCCTCCCTTGCGATCCCCCGGGGGATAAGTGACTCGCAGTGGGGCGGGGCATTCTGGAAGGGGTGTGCCAGAGAGAGAAGGCTGGGTGTCTAGGGCTTAGCTTTGAGCTCTTTGGTGCGTCCCGGGGAAGCACAGTCGTTCTGGCTAAGGGTGCGTGGGGACTGGGGGGATCAAGGCACCCAGAGGCCAAGGGCATATGCCAACCTCTGCATTTTGCTCCGCAGGGAACGCGGACACCCGGTGTCTGAACGTCGTCAAGACTCCTCCGGGTGGTGGAAGCCGCTACTCCCCAGCCGCCTGCGCTCGGATCGCCCCGGCGCCCGCCGGAGTGCGCCGGCTGACCCACACAACTCTTCAGACTTGGGGGAGTGTCAGCATGAACTTCGAAGCGTCTGTCCCCTCTAAGTGGCTTCAAACTTTTATTTGCTCTCCTTTACTCCAACCTCATTTTAATTCATTGTATCTATGCGTCTTTTTTTTTTCTTTAATTAGATTTAAAAGTAGATATCCCCAAACTCCCAACCCAAGCTGAAGCCCCAGGACAAGGTTCAATGACTAATTTTAACTCAACACCAAGCCAGAATGTTTACCTCGCGAATGGGAAGCACCGGGAGCAAAGCGATGAGCGGGGACCTCCTTCCCGGGACGCTCGGCTCGCAGGTCGGTTCCAGCCCGCTCTAGGGGGCGAGCACGCCTCCCTTCAGGGCCGGGCGGTCCGGCTCTGAGGAAACGCCTATGGAATGCCAGACCAAGTAGCCTCCACAGTTGCTCGAGGTCTCTGCCGCCCGAGACAAGTACTTTTATTCATTCGTCCTTTCCCCATCAATCACCGCCAGACTCCTCCCGCGCCTTCCGACGCTCTGCAACCTTTCCCCCTGGGCGACGCCTGGACAGCATCAGCAGGAGCTGCCCGCTGGCCAGGGCAGTCCCCGGCCGGGGACGCGTCCGAGAGCCTGCTGCTTGTCAGCGTTCTGGGTTCTCCAAAGCACCAGCCTAAACCAAGGACAAGTTTCCACGCACCAGACTAGAACGGGGTTCTGTATTGAACGAGTTAACCTGGACTTTCAGTGCGGAAGGCGACTTCTCTTGCCTTTAAGTACCTATGCCGCGGTGATGTAGGCGACCTGGTGAATTTGGGGGCTGTGCTCTTTGCTGGTTTTGGTTCGCCCTCAGATTTCAGGTCCACATCGCTCCCAACACAGAAAAGCTCTCTATTCGTTCTTCTCAAGCCCTGGTGCTGCCCTGGGAGAGGACTGGCATTCCTCCTTCATTTTTTCTAGCAGTGGCTACTCTTTCTTCCTGCTGTGCCCTCAAGTGTTAGGCCACCTCGGGGTGGGGTGTCCTACCCCACTGTTATACTGTCGGGGGATATGATACCTATAGGGTACATATAAATAATCAGAAAGCTGCCATTCAAATTCAAGGTGATTTCTTTTATCAGGCAGAGCGATAAAATCCTTTCCGCCCATCTATTCTTGAACTCCCTTTTTATGGGGGTAGAGAGAAATAATGGTGAGTGGCAGTTTTAGCTGAAGATTGTATGAAACAGGTCAGATATAGGCTGTGCAATGCACACTGGCTCTTCCTCTGCTGGACTCCACCCAACTAAATCCCTGTTCAATCTGTAACGTTTCATGCCCAGGAGGAACCATTCCGTGCAGAGATTCACGCAGAGACTAGGTGGTTCATTCATGGCTTCACAGCTAATTGATAGCATAGCTGAGGCAGGAACCGTAGATTTTTGTTGTCTATGCAATGCTTCCTGGGGGACTGGAAATAGGATGTCAATTTCTATTTAAAAGGGTGAATTTTTGGGGGGCGCCTGGATGGCTCATCTTTGGCTCAGGTCATGTTCTTGCGGTCTGTGAGTTCGAGCCTGGCATCAGGCTCTGTGCTGACAGCTCAGAGCCTGCTTTGGATTCTGTGTCTCCCTCTCCACCCCTCCCCTGCTCGCGCTCTGTCTCTCTCTCTCTCAAAAACAAACATTAAAAACATTTTTTAAAAAGGGTGAATTTTAAGTGTGAAATATGGTCTAAAGAACATAAGAAAAGCAAGCGTCAGGCTAAAGGAATGAGAAATGCGGTCTAGGGCTGTGCGTGCTAATTCCAAACCTGGCTATTTTGGGCGTAGTTCTTATCCTCCCTGTCTGGGTAAAAACAATGTCAGCATTTAATTGCTTCATAGCGGAGCTGAGTAAAAATATAGAGTGTTATGCGAATGAAGAATTATATGGGTGCATTTGGGAGTGTGAATATTCGCTGCTTTGGGTTTGCCCTTCTTACCCGAGACTTCTTATACTTCCTTGTCCCTGCAGGGGAAGCCCCTTTCCTTCCATGTTCACCATCACCTTCATTCACATTTGCTCCACCCGGTCCGCACTAGAGTGAATACCCCCAACAAAGTGAGTCAAATGGATTTTTTAGTTTCCCAGTGTATACGAAAGTTATGTTTACACTATACTGTAGTCTATTAAGTGTGCGATAGACTATATCTATTCTATATCTAAAAAAAAAAAAAAGTACAGACCTTAATTGAAAAATACCTTATTGCTAAAAATGCTAGTCATCACTGGGCTTTCAGCGAGTAGTAATCTTTTTGCTGCTGGAGATGTCGATGGTTGCTGACTGATCAGGGTGGCGGTTCCTGAAGGCTGCGGTAGCTGTAGCAAGTTTTTAAAAATAAGACAGCAATAAAGTTTGCCACATCAGTGGACTCTTCTATTCAAGAACAATTTCTCAGTAGCATGTGACATCGTTTGTTAGCATTTTATCCACAGTGGAACTTCTTTCAAAATTGGAGTCAGTCCTCTCACACCCTGCTTTACCAACTAAGTTTATGGAATATTCTAAACGCCCTGTTGTCATTTCAACAATGTTCACAGCATCTTCACCAGGAGTGGATTCCATTTCAGGAAACCTCTTATTTTGCTCGTCCATAAGAAGCAACTCTTCACCTGAAAAAATTTTATCCTGAGAATGCAGCAATTCAAATGTCGTGATAATGAAAAAGTTTGAATTGCCAAAATGTGATAGGGAGACAGGAAGCGAGCAAACGCCATTGGAGAAATGGTGCCAATGGATTTCTTGACGCGGGATTGGCACAAACCTTCAATTTGTAAAAAATGTAGCATCTGCAAAGTGCAATAAAATGCAGTGCAGTAAGTCAACGTATGCTGGTAATCTAAGCCTCACTGAGATCTATCCTTTCTCTTTCAAGACTGTTAAACACAACTGAGCACTTGATCGCATTGAGACTTCCATGGGTCACTTCTGAGTTCATGTTAATCGATATCCTCTCCGGGACAGGATAGAATGACAGGTTCTTTCTGTACCATCACAATACCTGCCACCATTGAGAGCAAGAAATAATTTTATGGATCTGATAATTACATTTTAAGCTATTTAATTATATTTTACTACTCTAGTCATAAATTTCAGGAAGAAAACCAAATAATTTTAAGGTAAACATACATATTCCACATCTGGGATTTAAAATACGATATTGGTTACCTACCACCTATACGGGGCACCTCATTTCATAGGATCTCATTTCTTTCCTCAGGAAAGTCTTTGAAATAGATATTGTTTTTTATGATAATATGGGAAGTGAAATAGTCTCATAAATTCACTCAATCCACATAGCTGGTTAGTTGTGGAACTAGGATTTGAACAAGATAATCTGGTTAAACAGACTATGCTTTTGATTAATTTAATTACATAGAGTCTAAAGATTTTTTTATTTTATTTTTTAAATGTTTATTTATTTATTTTGAGAGAAAGAGAAAGAGAGAGAGAGAGAGCATGAGCAGGGAAGGGATGGAAAAGAAAGAATCCCAAACAGGCTCAGCGCTGCCAGCACAGAGCCTGATACGGGGCTCGAACTCATGAACTGTGAAATCAGGAACAGAGCTGAAATCGAATCAGACACTTAACTGACTGAGTCACCCAGGGTCCCCCAAAATTTTTTTCTTATTTTGAGAAAACAGTGTTTTAGACCTCAGTAATATCCAACTGAAGCTTAACCTGAAGTTGAGTGAAAATATAAAGGTAGCCATGTAAAAGATTTATTATTTGATCCTCATGAAGCACCTTAATCAAGTCACAAGAAATGGAGTCTCAGTTTCCCCTTTTGTAACATGGAGGGAAAGGATTAGATGATGTCTAAAGTTACTTCTTCAAAAATGTCAGTCTGATGGGCAAACTGACTCTGGAAAGGGACCCGAAGTGCAGCAAGGTGAAATCTTGTGCTAGACTTTTTTTCTCCCTTCTTTTTATATTCTCTACTTGTGCCTTGGGTGATACTATCACAGATACAAGGTTTGTTCACCTTATGACTTAAAATGCCATACTGATAAACTTTATTTATAACTTTACCAGTAAAGCACTGTGTAAATTTAATTTGTAAATATATGCAAAACAATTGTATCACATTTTAAGAATCCTGTCCTGAAAATTTTTGGGTGTGAACTGATTTTGAATTTAGCATTTATAGGAGATTTCTGTTGTTTTTTTCATCGTTGTTGTGTACTTAGTAAATGTGGAATCTTTTACAATGTTCCTTTTATAAAGGTACTTTTTCAAGTGTCCTAGGAAGTATATCAAAATCTCATATTGGCTAAGATCAGCCATCAAAGACAGAAAAAGGCGGTGAAGGACCACATCCCACTATCCCTTTTAAATTACTTTAACTAGAAGGTCATGAAGACATGGTTGAATGCACTTCAGAATTCATTCCTCAAAGAGGTTTGCCATGGGGAGCTTGCCCAAAGCAAACCTTTTCCCCTGGTAAGAGAACAAAGAAAAGCCCTTTTAGCCACAAAAAAGTGAATACTTTCATGTAATCCCCTTGATATGAATGTACCCTTGGAAATCTACCTTGCATTCCTTAAATCATGAATGCTGAGGGACAAGGTGTGTGAAAAACACAGAAAAGTTGGTTCAGTTGCTTCTCCACACATTCCCCTAGGAACAGATCCAATGATCAAATAATGGTTGAAGTAAGGGAATAAAGATTAAAATGGCTGCACAAATCAATAGCAAACAGTCGGAACCTTTCTTTTCTCGGATTTTTCTCTTATGATTATGTGACTATAGCTCTTGGGCCTTAGGGGTAAGGATACTTTAAAAGTTCTTTTCCGATTCAGGTATACTTTATATACAGTTAACTGGATGGGATCTAAGTGCCCAGTCCGAACAGTGTTGACAAGTTCACCCCTCTGGGACCCATACCTCATGGGCCTTTTTCAAAATTCATTTATTCTTCGAAAGCAGTGAAATTTGAATCGTTAGGATTTGGACACTATTCGTATTAAGATTTTTATCAAGACATTCTCCTGCTGAGTCAATTTGTTTTATACAGATTATCAGCTGCCGTAACTGAAACAAAATTCATAAAGTAGAGGTGTACTTACAAATGAAAGAAACTAAGATTTGAAACTTTATTCATGGTTACTCGATCGTGCCTAGTTCTAGTCCATGCCCCCATAAGTCACGAGAATTTGATAGACTTGTAGTAATTAGAAATAAGACATAGTTCTTTTCTGCTTATAAGAAATATGAGAAACAGGAAGGTCACACTTCCTTTGTTCTATCTGAGGAAAGAAGCATAGTTTGCTACTTCACACTGTGGTCGACTTTAATTAAAGGTTTTATGAAGGAGTTTGCTCTCCTGCTTATGGCTTAAGTAATTTTTGTATTTCTTTCTTTGATGTAGTTTTAAATACCAGCATGGGCAAAAGAAAAAATGAGGGTAACGTGGTCTATGAACTCTTTAAGCCCGTTCACAAGAGCTCTTTGGCACAACTGTTAA